TAATTACCATCGTGATTATAAGCATGAACATGGTTTCTATAACAGCTTTGTCAGGTATTTTCAGATTTGTTTAGTTTTGAATTATTCAGATTTGTTCTTGTTACCATCTTAACAATTGGGGAGACTATAGCTTTATGTTCTGAATTGTTTGTTTTGAAATATATTTTGGTAGGCTTAAAGCTAAAATATTTTAGACCTTTTTTTTCAGGTTACTTGGGGTATTGTTTCCATACTAAAGTAAGAGCATTTGTCTTTTATTAAATTAAAGTCACTGAACTTACGGGTGGGATCAAGATATAAAATCTTCATTAACAACCTTGACTAGATAATTGCATATTTAGTGTGAGTGGATGTGCAGGTACATAATTTTCGTGTTGAAGTGGATCCTGGAGATGTTCAGCCCTGTATTCAGTTATGTGTTCCAAAAAGAAACAGGCTACTAGCTGTAACTTTTTTCTTTTCTTTTCTTCTCTGTTATTCTTTAGGTTTTTTTATTTTCTTTATTTTTTGGTTTTATTATTAGGGGCTTGATATTGTAGGGAGGGGAGGAAGGAAGGTTCTATTTTGAGATATATATATATAGGTGTAGAAACACAAAGAGATGACATGGTGCAATATTGACTAAGATGAGGGGAGGGGCATTGAACATATCATGCCCACTATTATTCCTAGAACTAATAACACTGTTGTTATTGATGCAAAACCAACCGAAATTCAAACCATAACTTGTCCCTCATGTGGCCATAACATTGAATTCCAAGATCAGGTAGTAATGAAGTAAAGGTTTTGATTCACAACTGGTGTTTGTGCTTTTATCTTATAAGTCCAAGATCAAAAGTTTGAAGCGTATGAATTTTTTACAATAACCCAGATTGAAATAAGTTACTAGATATTCTTAAGTTGATCTAAAATTATAGTCCTTATCCTGTCTGTAGACTAATTACTATATTTTTGTCTTAAGTTATATTCTTTAGAGGTTTTTATGTTATGGTTTTACAACTTTTAAATTGTAGGTTTCAGATGCAGATCATATGGACATATTGATATCATACCTTCACATGGCACTTCCATTTGTCGTGGTAAGGACTGTTATACTGTTTTATCTTTTGTCATATCCTTCTGTTTAGTCGTTTCTTCAACCAATTCATTTTTTTTCTTTTCTTTTAGAGGGGTGCATCTAGCAGCAAATTTCTCAACTATATAAACAAATATATAATACCTGTTTTTGACCAGTAATACTTTGAGTTTAGATCATTTTTTTGTTAGATGAGTTTAGATCATTTAGTTTGAAAGAATAAGCATGTATTTTATTATTTGTGCAACCTATTTAATATTTTCCTTTTTTAACCTGGTGTGTATGCTTTTTCCTTTCTGTCAATTTGTCGCCTTCTAGTGGGTCAGATTATCTATATTGGATTGTTCAGTGGTGGCATTTGCAGCAGCCGGGGTGATAATAGGAGCCATGATCTCATTGAGGAATAGGGAAAATTTTAAAAAAATGTAGCCACAATGTGGCTGTAATTTTTTTTAAAATTTTTTATTAAAATAGCCACGTTTAGACCGTGCTAAACATAATCAATAACCGTAGCTAAACGAATGCTACCACACTCAAATAAAATGTGGCCAAGTAAAGCAACAAATGTGGCTAAAATATTGTTATGCCATGATTAGCCACATTCATAAAAAGTGTGGTAGCTTTTATTAGCCACATTTTAAAAGCAATTTAGCCACGTTTTTAAACGTGGCAAAACACCGATTTTTTTGTAGTGAGAGTTTCCCTACTTGAATCATTCAATTGGCTTAGAAAGCAGGTGGCACTTGAATGAGATAAAAATTAATCAAAGGTTTTATTGTAGAACATTTAATCTACAGTTTACTCTCTCTTTTTATATATTATCCACCAGATTTTACTTATCTGGTGGTTTTTTTATCAATATTGCATAGACTAAACTTTGAGTCCCTGTGATAATTTTTACAAAGCGGTTACTATTTTAATGGAAAAGAAAAGGGTTTACATGGGAAATAATTTTCACACATCATTATTTTATAGGAAATTTTCAAAAATCCTCCTATGATTTTGCTCTGAATCACTTCCACCTTAAGCTTTTTTTTAATCACTTAACACAATTTGAAATTAAACTAAACTGCTATTTTACCCTTCTTAGAAAAAGAAAATAGACACAATAAAAAAAATAAGACTAAATATGTTGAAAACTTACAACAGTAACAGAAAAGACTAAAAGTAAACAAAACTGAAAAATAGTCTCTATAAAAAAAAATTGAAGACAAAAAAGACATAGAAGAAAAAATAAGACCAAATGTGTTAGAATTTTAACACAAAGATATAAAAGACTATAAAAGTGAAAAAAAAGTTGAAGAAAAATATATAAATTAAAAAGAAGAATATACATTGAGGACATAAGAGAAAAAAATATAAGAAAAAAAAAACCCTATATGTTAGAAATTTATAACAGTGATTTTTTTTTCTTTTTTCTATTTCTTTTTTGTCTTTTGTCTTTTGTCTTTTGTCTTTTGTCTCCTTTCTTCTTTTTGATTTAGACTATTTTTTATTTTTATTTTAGTATTTTCTGTCAATGTTACAAATTTTCAACACATTAATTTGGTCTTATTTATTCTTCTATTTTTTTTCACAATCTATTTTCTTCTTTTTTATTTAAACATATTTGGTCTTATTTTTTCTTCTATTTATTTTTTATCTTGAGTCTATTTTCTTCTTTTTGGTTTTGACTAATTGCATTTTTAAAAAAAATTTAGTCTTTTCTATTACTATTGTAAGTTTTCAACATATTTGATCTTATTTTTTCTTCTATTTTCTTTGTCCTTAATCTATTTTCTTCTTGTTGTTTTAGACATATTTGTTCTTTTTCCTTTTATTTTTAGTCTTTTCTATAAGTATTGTAAGTTTTCAACATATTTGTCTTATTTCTTCTTTTATTTTATTTTTTCTTCCATAGTCCAATTCTCTTATTCTAATAAGGGTAAAATAAGTAGATTAGTTTTGTTCTAATGGTGTTAAGATGGATTTAAATGGAAAAAAAATCATAGTGGTTAAGTGAGTAAAAATTATATAGAGATAAAAGTGATTCGAAGCAAAACCACTGGGTTTTTTTTGAACTTTTTCCTTTTTTTATATTTATTGTTTATACTTATTTATATAAGAAAATAATAATTAAATATTAAAAAGTGTGGTTTTTCTTTTATCATTTTTTATGTTATAACAATATACAAATAGCATCACCCAATTTATAATAAGATTTTGCAATGGCCATTGAAAGACATGGTTTTTGTACTTAAAGACTATGTAGACAAGTCTTAATTACCATTTACTTACCTTTTAATTGTGAGTTTTGAATTATCGAATCTTTCTTTTGTTGGCCAAAAAATGATAAGCACACTTTATATGTTTCATTGATGTTCATGATTGCTGATTAATTTGAAAACGGTAAGTTGTCTCATTTCAAATTTGATGAACATAACTTGAACTTAATTCAAAGATTCTATCTGGAAAACTTGTTTCATTCCAAACTTGATGATACAATCTAACCAGGTTGGACCATCTTTTTGGTTAAATAATCTCATTCCAAACTTGATATTAGATTATTTGACTTTGAGGAATTAGTAATCGTGACATTCTAAATTGAGATTTTGAAATAGTTGTTTGCATAAGAAGCCTATGGGTCTTGTTCTTAATTGAAACTTGACATCACATGACTAGATTATTGTAAATGACTTGACTATTGGTCATGTTCATTGAAACTAGACAATGGTTATTCTATTACAAATAAACTTAAGTTGATGGCACTTTGCCAAACAAACTGTTTAGGCCTTATTCATAATTTATGAAACTGGCTTGATGCTTATGAACACAATATTACGATGCTTTATAATATTAATATATGTTCTTCTTTGCCCTGATGATATGATGCTAAGTTCTTTTAGTAGAACTAGACATCTTTGGTAGATTATTCAACCAATTGAATTCATAATAATATGAAATTCATATTTGATATTCTACAGAGGATGACAGAGATGGATGAGAGCTTAATGAGAGAGATCTTGACTAAGATCACCTCATTGATAAATGAATATATCATTTAGAGTATGTGGGGACTTGACAGTTCACCCGTTATTGCCCATTTTGATGAAGTCCATTTGTTTGAGATTATTTGAGACTTATATTTTGCTATCTTTATTTTATGAACATTGTTTATTATGAACTAATTTTGAGACTTATCTTGGATGTTGGGATTTGGATGAGGTTAAATATTTATTTAGGTATGTTGGTCTCAGAACATATTCATGACAATGATGATTTATTTATTTAGATTGAAAATGACGATTGAGTTTAATATTTTGCCGTTAAAACTCTTTAATTGATCCGAATTAATTGTCTTGGACTGGATGTGAATGATTCATATTTGTTTGAACATTACATTGATCACTCTATTGGATTATGTTGTATGGTGAACATAAGAGGAGAGTTGTTGAATATATTAATAATATAATCCAATAGTATGTTCACATACAAGCCCAATAGATGAAAACATGATTATTTGAATTCATATGGACTGGAGCCCAATAGCTTGCATTATGTCTAGGTTTCTTAGGCTGAAAATAACACATTCGTCTCTTGATATAATACTTCAAGCCCCAATACTGCCCCCAAACCCTTCTCTCTAGAACTCGTACCTCCAACATTTTTGTGATGTTAAAAAGAGCGGTTTTATGAGGAAACTAGGGATGCCAATTGCTGGCCTGGATATTATTAGAAATATAATACCAAAGTTTGCGCGCTAACTGAGGCCATGAAATATTGTAACATCGTATCACCCTTAGAATTGAAAGTACAGAATCGCATCAATTTACATAAGGACTACATGGGTGGAAAAACATGGTAAGGTATCGAATACTGCTACCGACATGCTTATAACAAGCATTTTAGAAGGATATAGGCCAAGCGTAGTGTCTGGCTAGAATTCTCAATAGAATAAGCCCTCGTGATACAAACTATTCTGGCTCCAAAATTCTACATCGCACATAGAACTAAAGTATTCAAGTTCACAACCCAAGGGCGCAGCTGCTTCGGTAGGAGGGACATAGGAAATGTCAGTCATATACGGCTCTGTCCAGAAATTTGCACTCACGGGCTCTATATATGCATCCAGAAAAGAAAGGTCATCTTCTAGAATAAGATTTTCGTGATTTTTGTCAGCTACAGTATCTCCTGTTATGCAGGAGAATTCGCTAGACGATGGCTTTGGAGAATATGGACAGGTATCGGAACCACCACTGTTCTCTGACTCTCTCTGTAGTTGCTTGTCTTCCATTGGGGAGTGATTCTTTGAGTTAGAGACTTTGGTTGACTTGGGTTCAAAACGCTTCTTCAGGGTTGTGTGCCAGTGATTCTTTATCTCGTTATCCGTTCTCCCTGGCAAATGAGATGCAATCACGGACCATCTGCATAACAAAGCGAAGCTCAACCACACCACACCACACAATAATTTGTATTAAGTGCATCTTTATCTTTGTCGTTAAAGTTTGAGATGACAATAATGTGAAAATTTTGTATGTCCCTCTTTATATAATTTAACAATATTTTGATAGGGCTCCATCTATTTATGAAGAAAGAGATGGACTACGTACAACTGTTAACAAGAAAGCATTTATTCACGTCTAAATATAGACTACAAACAACCCTTTTCATTCTTTTGTTTTGATTTTAAATTATGGTCACAAATTTGATTGTGGTATGATGCTGTCTTGGAATTCACGACAATTACAATATGCGTTTTGCGTCGAAAGAAAATTTTTGTGCATTATTCACTCGTAAAATTTAATGGACTCTTGTATAAGAAAATGTGTTCGAAAAATATAATATAAAAAAACTTCAACTAATAGCTTTTGAGTTGAATTCGAGAGGAGCATTGAATTGTGCAAACTCAAGAAGAAGAAATAATTATAAGTATGGGTGACATGCATACCTATTGCCCAGCTTCTCATGAAGTCTGATAATAGTTTCATCTTCTTCTTGACTATAGTCCCCTCTTTTGATGTGGGGCCTTAGATAGTTCATCCACCTCAACCTGCAACTCTTCCCACACCTTGCAAGACCTGAAAACCAACCTCTCATGGTTCGAGTATTTTCAATTCCAATTTCCAACATGGCTGAAATTAAGGGGGGAAAACACCCCGTAGATGGAAAGTATAATTTCTGTTATTTTTCAACTACCTGCGAACTTGGGAAGTTGCCTCCAATTCCAGTGGCCATACCTAGTAACATAAGCAATCAACTTCCTGTCTTCCTCAGGTGTCCACGCGCCTTTCCTCAGTCCACTTTTGTCACAATTAGGGGCTCTCACCATCTCTACAATTAGCTTGTTTTTCTGTGACTTTGTATCTCTATTGAGTCATTCCGTGAGTGTGTACGTTTGTGTTTAAACTGATCGACAGAGAAATTATAGGGAGTGACTGGGGGAGACAGAGACTAGGGTCTACTAATTTCTTTGCTTTTCAGACTATAAAACCTTGAATCTTAGACTTCATATATTACATGCGTTCACAACTAAACGTGTTACACGGCCCATAACGTGTTTCAGATATATAATTATTTGAAATTAGGACATTCTAAAATCCAATATGTATGTTATTCGGACAGTGTATTTGCTACACTCATTTCCTTTTATTGAAAAAAATTCTTTGCATTCCTTTTTCTATAAAGAAAAAGTATAAATTAAAATATATAAATTGACGTTGTTGAATCCCAGTTGCTTAGGAAAATTCAATGTAACTAACCTTGGTCATTGGTCATTATTTCTAAGTCAGAATAAAGCATTTTTTATATTTTGCTTCGATACGTCATAATTAAGTCACATCAACAAGAAGAACAGTTCAACTGCCAATAGATTTACATATTATTTTTAGGAAAATAAAAATTCTTTAAGTTATTATAAATAACCTTCTCAACGTCGCACGATTTTAATTATATTTTATTAATAAGACATAATTATTTTAGTAAAATTATTTTTCTTCTTCTTCATTTTAGCTGATAATATCTGAAGAGAAAAAAAAACATTATTATTATTATTATTTTATCTTACTAATAAAATATAGTTGAAATCGTATGGCACAAATAATTTATCTAAAGCAACTATAGAAAAAATTAATTAATTATTTTTAATATATTATTCTTTACTATATTTCTATTTAAATAACAAAATACAACAAATATGTAATTTTAAGACGTTCTATATTTATTTTTTTCCTTTCTAAAATTTCTTTTGAAACAAAAAATCTGTAAAATAGTTGTTGTCGCTCCTACTTCATGCCATTGCCACGTGGTGTGGTTTCCGTATCAAGAGTTACCAAGTTAGTTGACAACTATATTGGCCCAGAGAATTTAAGTCCTGCACCCCCTCTAGTGCGAAATAACGTGTTCTGTTTTTTCAAGTGATTTCCACAATCCTCCGGGAACTTACACGGGATATCAAGTCACATAATTTTTACTTTTCATTTATTTCTCATTTTACGATCATTTATTAAAACAAAACATTACTCATTAACAATTAAGTATTATATAAAATCTCTACATATTATTAATTATACATGCCTATCCTAAGATAACAAAAAGAATTAATTTCAAAAAATTATAAGAATAATTCACTAATTCAATTTAAAAGAAACTCTAAATATTAATCAACATATTTTTACTGCAACAAAATTATTACTGTAACAAAATTAATACAAAATTTAAAAATTACTACAAAATTTAAAAATTACAAAACTCTAAATAGTAATTTCAAAATTTCTGTAGAATTATTATTTTTGTTGTAACAAAATAAACATTTAGATGCATAGTAATTATTTATCATTATTACTATTTTTACAGTAACAAAATTATTCCCTATTTATTACTATTTTTACTGCAACAAAATTACAAAATTTTTCTGTAAAATAGAGATAATTTTGTTGTAGTAATACTTGAAATAAAAGGGTATTTGAAATATTATTGAATCGTATTTGAATATGTACATAGGGGTCTCTATTTATAGAGACTTCTTGACCTAATTTTGACCTAATGGGCTTGGCCCAATATACAAGTTAACGGACTAAATAAATACAAATAAATGACTACATAATTACTAATAAATGACTACATAATTACTATTTACAACAGCAATAAATGACTACATAATTACTAATAAATGACTACATAATTACTATTTACAACACTCCCCCTCAAGTTGAGGAATAGATATTTATCATTCCCAGCTTGCTAGCAAGTTCTTGAAATCTATTTGAAGGAAGCTCATTTGTCAATAGATCAGCTAATTGACGCCCAGTGGGAATGTATGGAGTGGTAATCAACCCGCTATCAAGTTTCTCTTTGATGAAATGGCGGTCGACCTCAATATGTTTAGTCCGATCATGTTGAACTGAATTATGAGTTATACAAATAGCGGACTTATTATCACATAGCAGCTTCATAGGTCCCTCATATTTTATTTTTAGATCATCAAGTACAATTTTCAGCCACAGTAACTCACAAATGCCTTGAGCCATAGCTCGAAATTTAGCTTCTGCACTTGATCTGGCGACCACATCTTGTTTCTTACTTCTCCATGTCACCAAGTTACCACAAAGAAACATGCAATAACCAGTGGTAGAACGACGGTCAGTCACGGATCCAGCATAATCAGCATCTGTGTAGACTTCTAAAGATAGATTGCCATCACGTCGGAATAACAACCCTTTACCAGGAGTACCTTTCAGATACTGAAGAATTCTCTCTACTGCCTGCATATGTTTCTCCTTTGGATCGTGCATAAACTGACTGACAACACTAACAGCATAAGCTAAGTCTGGTCTAGTATGAGCCAAATATATCAATTTCCCAACTAGCCGTTGATATTGTCCTTTATCAACTGGAGGACTCTGCTCTTCATAGCCCATCTTGTGATTCTGCTCAATAGGAGTATTAGAGGGTTTACACCCGAGCTTTCCTGCTTCTTTGAAAAGATCAAGAACATATTTCCTCTGGCTGATAAAGATTCCTTTGCTCGAATGAGCTACTTCTATCCCTAGGAAATATCTCAGTTTCCCAAGGTCTTTGACTTCAAACTCAGAGGCAAGCCGTGTTTGCAGAATCTGTCTCTCCACAAAATCATCACCTGTGATAATAATATCATCAACATATACAAGGAGCACAGTAAGCTTCCCATTTTGGGAGTGCTTGAAAAAAAGAGTGTGATCTCCCTGACTTTGTTTATATCCTAAGGTCATCATAACCTTAGTAAACTTTCCAAACCAGGCACGAGGTGACTGCTTCAATCCATACAAGGCCTTTTTTAATTTACAAACTTTATTTTCTCCCTTCACAGAATCAAAACCAGGCGGAATTTCCATGTAGACTTCTTCTTCTAACTCACCATTGAGGAAAGCATTCTTCACATCAAATTGGTTTATATCCCAATTGTAATGGGAAGCAAGGGATAACAAAACTCTTACCGTATTCATCTTTGCAACGGGAGCAAATGTTTCATCATAATCAATGCCATAGGTTTGAGAGTAACCTTTGGCAACTAATCGAGCTTTGTATCTCTCAAGAGTTCCATCAGAATTATATTTCAGGGCATAAACCCATCTGCACCCTACTGCTTTCTTTCCAGTAGGTCTATCAATAACCTCCCATGTTTTATTTTTCTCCAATGCATTCATCTCATCTTGCATGGCTTGAACCCAATTCCTATCTTTCAAGGCTTCATGTACTGATTTTGGGATTGCAATAGAGTCTAGTGCTGAAACAAAGCTTTTGTGCTGCCCAGAAAGATTAACAGAGGAAACAAACTGGGAGATAGGGTATTGAGTACAAGAGGGACAGGAGGGACAAGATTTCTTGGGACAAGCTCTTTTTCCTTTTCTAAGAGCAATGGGTAAATCATCAGAATCAGTAGTAATGGGTAAGTCATCAGAAGTATTAACATCATGATCAGAAATATGAGATTCAGGACTTACCAGTGGTTCAGACGATTGAGGTTGCTGCTGAGACAATGTGGGCTGTTTCCTTCTTTCAGGTGTCATAATCTTTCGTATCTCTGGTGTACTTGATGTATCAATCACAAGAGAATCAGTCACAGGAGGATTACTCACAAGAGGATCAGACACAGGAGGAACAGACAAAGGAGAAACATACACAGGAGGAACAGGACCAGGTGGAGGATACACTGACATAGGTAAAGGAGTAGACACTGATGATTCAAACTCAAAGAAGGGAGGTGATGAGATTTCTGGTGAAGGATTCTCCCCCTGAAGATGACGACCTTGGAAAAAGGACTCAGATTCTTGAAATGTAACATCCATAGAAACAAAAAATTTCCTACTACTAGGGTGATAGAACTTGTAGCCCTTCTTATCAGGAACATAACCAAGAAAAACACATTTAATAGCCCTAGGGTCCAACTTACTGCGATGATGTTTATGAACATGAACAAAAGCAACACACCCAAACACTCGTGGAGGAAGACTCATCATAGTTGGAATAGAAGGGAAAAAAGAAGTCATAGAGTGAATAGGACTTACATGGTCAAGTACCCGAGTGGGTAAACGGTTGATCAAGAATGCTGCAGTAAGAATAGCATCTCCCCAATAGTATTTGAGTACATGTGTCTGAAACATTAATGCACGAGCCACTTCAAGAAGGTGACGATTTTTTCTTTCAGCAACCCCATTCTGTTGGGGGGTGTCAACACAAGTAAGTTCATGAATCATACCGTTATTTCTTATAAATTGGGAAAAACTATGATTAACATATTCAGTACCATTATCTGTTCTTAGTCTCTTGAGTTTTTTTTACCAAACTGGGTCTCAATCATTTTATAAAATTGAAAGAACAGTTGTGGTACCTCAGACTTTTCATGCATTAATTACACCCAAGTTACACGAGTGCAATCATCAATAAAAGAAACAAACCATCTATTTCCAGAACCATGAGGGACTTTAGAGGGACCCCAAACATCAGAATGAATAAGATCAAAAGGTTCAACACTCTTAGTAATACTAGAAGGAAAAGACACACGATGATGCTTAGCAAATTCACAAACATCACAATGAAAAGACTCAACAGATTTAGACAAAAACAATGACGGAAATAAAGATTTGAGTAAACTAAATGGAGGATGACCTAAGCGCTTATGATGAAGCCAAATCAAAGAATCAGCAGTTGATTGACCATGAGACGTCAAGATGTGATTTGTTACTTTATTTGCAGGAGATTGTGACACCAGATAGTACAGCCCACCTTGCTCTTTAGCACTACCAATCGTCTTCCCCGTGGCGAGATCCTGAAAAACACAATGGGTAGGATAGAAGGTTACAGTACAATTCAAATCTTTTGTAATTTTATGAATGGAAAGAAGATTCGTGGAGAGTTTAGGAACATGAAGAACATCCTTAAGATGTAAGGACTGCTGTAAGTTTATGTCACCAGAA